CCAGGTTTGCGTTGTCCTCCATGGACATGGAGCAGAGAGACTACGACTCCAGGACGGCTCTGCATGTTGCAGCTGCTGAAGGTAAAAACTACTGACGAGGATGAAAGACACATTTTCTTTGAGCAGTTTGAGTGTGGGTAGCTAATGTGTGCGTGTGTGTGGGGTTTTTTTTTTAGGACACGCTGAGGTGGTCCGCTTCCTGCTGGAGGCCTGCAAAGTCAACCCAGTTCCTAAAGACAGGTAACAGTCCAGCAGCATACTTAGCTTTAGTTATTTTTGCGAGCCCCCATGTAGGGAGTCTGTGGTCCTTGTCCCAGCAGCTGTGGGTTTGGGTCCCACTGCTCCTCCCAGGATTTCCTGTCTCTCTCTCCAGCTGTCCTATCTTATACTGTAAAGGGGAAAAAAAGGCCAAAACTTTGACTTTAACATTGACTACGTCTCGTTCAGCTCTGTAAGGTCAGAACATGTTTTAGACTACAATATGCAGAATAAACAGTCAAAATAAAAGATAACTTTACAGTTACATAAATGATAAAAAATAAACTGTAGGGCTCTTTGTGATTCTTCTGTTTATATGTGTCGTGTTAAATGTGATGTTTGTGGCTGCGCTCTGTGCTGCAGGTGGGGAAACACACCACAGGATGAAGCAGTTCACTTCGGTCATCACGACGTGGTGACCATCCTGCGAGATCATCACACGAAGTACAACCCGCAGGAGACGACCACCGACAAGCAGAGCGCAGAGCAGAACCTGGACGGGTTGCTCTGAGGGAGAGAAGAAGAAGTCAGTGAAGCCGAGCGGGACGGTTTGTTCTCAGAGAGAAACGTCTTAAATCAGGAGGTTTGAGAGGAGAATCTATCAAACACTCACATGTAGGAACAGTTAGGAACATTAAACTGTAAAGAGGAATCTTTAGAAACAACTTAGATAACAGTCCGTTAAACACACACCCCTCCAGTGTAAAAGCTCCTCCTCATGTTGTTAGATGTAGTAAGTTTTTGTAAGATAAATTGTATTTCTGTTTGATTTCTCCTCCTGTGTTCAGTCATCACCTTTGTAGCTCTGTAGGAAGTGACCAGCCGCCAGCAGAATGCTGGGTAAATTTGGCTGCGGCTGGTGAGTTAAAGGACTCACCTGTTTTTATTTTGAAAAGGTGATAGAGGAAGTAGCAGGTGTAATTTGGAGTCCAGGTGTTAAAAAACCTCCCTGGGTTCATCATCATCACAACATGGTGGAATGTATCTTCCCCCAAACACACAGAGTGTTTGTACGTGTGTGGTATTTATTTATCTATTTAAGATAAACTGTACATTCATGTAGTGTGTGTGTGTGTGTGTGTGTGTGTGTGTGTGTGTGTGTGTGTGCGAGTGTGTGTGTGTGTGTGTATTCTTCAGGTGAGGATATATATTGGTGTAAATACGCACAGGTGTATAGTTGTAGCTCTATAGTCTGGTGGATTTTGATCACGAGGTGTGTGAGGTCGATTTCACTCAAACTATTTTTCTGTTTTTAAACTTTATTTTGAATTCTTAAATCTGTTCGATGTTCAGCCTTTAAATTTAAATACGAGTAAAAAGCTTTTGTTCTGTTAGCTACATGATGGCTGTTTTTGTTTTTACCCCTAAAACTGGATTTTATTTTGCACCTTTACACTGAAATATTTGATATTTATTATTTTGTATTTTGGAAATTTGTGTTTTTAATAGAAAGTCATCCAAAGTTGGGCGTGTTTGTCGCCTCCTGACTGATCGAAGGAGTTCTTAGATATCGGATGTGACACTGCCAGCACTGACAGCAGCTTGAATACAAGGAAAGTTTGTTTCATACTTTTATTTAGTTTGTCAGATTTATCTTTTAGACAAGAAACTGCACTCAACAAAAAAGAATTGGTTGCTGCACATCCGAACTGTGCAGCTAATCATTCAAACTCTCAAATCTTTATTTACATTTTCTACTGGAGGTCACAACATTTTCAACGATACGGAAGCCATGAAAGACAATATGTTGAAACTACAAGACGCCCAGAATATTCTGTTCAGTTCAACGAAATAAATGGTTTCTTTTGTCATCCACAGCTTAAAAGATTTATCATGATCATAAATGACAAAGAAAAGCAGCAAATCTTCACATTACCAGCGACTGATTGATCACTTAGAGAATACATTTTTCTCTGGTCGTTTCGTCCCGTCATCTTTGTTGCTCTGAGTGAATGAAGTCTAAAAACTTTTTGCATTTTATGACAAAGATAATCTTCACTGAAGCTGCGAAGATGAATAATGTAAAGAAAACTTTACATCTATAAACCTGATTAAATCCCCGGCTCTCTGATTGGTTGTTGTCTGCAGCAATGCATCATGGGACTTGTAGTTCTCTAAAAATCAATCTTTTTAGCTAAATTTCTACGTTAAGTTTATGAACAATTTTTTTTTCTGTTGAGTGCAGTTCCTCCTTTCTTCACACTTGAAATCACATTAAAGTTTTGATCATGTTTTTCTGAAGATCATGGCTTTTAGAGCAGAAATGTGTTGACTCTGTAATGTTTCACATGAATTCTGATGGTTGCTTTGTACACGTGTTCCTGCAGAGCACTCGGACAGGACAACGGGTTTTCAAACACTAAAGACTTAAGTGCAGGAGCTTTAAAATGCAGAGGATGTCTGTCTTACTTGAAAAGTTGTGTAAATGTTTTCCAGAGGGTTCTTGTGTTTGTAGTGTGTTTGAGGTTTGGATGTTGTTGTTTTTAATTGACAAACTGAACCAGGCAATTCTGTCTGTTGTAAAAACAATCCACAGTTAAAATCAGTGCAGTTAGAAGTCTTTGTATCCCTCTGGTTGGGATCGGTAAATTCATTTTAAATTACATGATTTAAAAGTAATCAAAGAGAAGCACAAAAAGGAACCTAAAAGCTGCAATATTTGAAGAGACAATTAGCAATAGAATTGTTATGATTGTACCATAAAATCAGCAATATTCGACTCTGATCCCGACCTGCAGCTCCGCTCTCTCTGCTGTCGTCTGTGATATGACGTGATCTCTGTGTGCAGCTGAAGTATTCTGAATGTAACGTGTTTGGTGTCGTTCTCTTTCTTCATGTATGTTTCTGCTGCTGAGTGTCGCAGGCAGCTTAGATATTTATTCACAGATCAGACATTTAATAAAAGTTCTAAAAATAAACTGGAGGAGTGTGTTTCTGTTGCTTTCAAATGATTTAAATTAAATCTTTAACTGTGTTGCACCATTATGAAGTACATTTTAGTGCTCCCTGTGTCCCCGGTTTTATTTGCATTCCTCACTAATAAGGAATAAAACATGTAGCTCAGGGAGATGGAGTCCAGAGGTCGTGTGTTCAAACTTTATCTGGTGAATTTTTAAGGCCAACATCCAAAATGACAAAGATAAATCTGCCCGGAGAGAATCACCCGGGGTGAATGGTATCAGTGGTGTGGTGGATAAGACTCAAGTCTCCTTTTGTGGAAATGCTGTGTTCAAATCCCGCTGCACTGAATGCATTCATAATTTTTTTTTTAAAAGTCATATATATGAAGAAAAGATACATACGAACAGTAAAAAAAAAGTATGCATGTACTATAAAGATGTTGTTTTAAAGTATATATTCTATAATAATTAAATGCTTTGTTGTTCTTCAAATGATCTACATGATATTGAAGGTTTTAACTCTTTGTGGCTTTAATGTAACTTCTACACTTTACAACCACAGACTGTAAATATTACAACATAGCTCACCTGGAGGTTAACAGCCTCGTCAGGTCTAATTAACCGCTGCATCATGCATTCATATTACACTGCTGCCCTCTGCTGGCGATGGGTTGTAATTACACCCAACAGTCACTATAACAGAAATGTATCCTCTTTTTAACCTTTTTTTCCAACACATAAATGTGTGGAAAAATATAAATATAAATAGCGGTTATACTTATTTAAGAATATGTTAAAACAAACTAAATGAAAAGATTGAATTTTTTTAAATGGTTGGTAATTAAAGTGACTACACCTATAACTACTACAAGATGTGTTTGTAATGTCAGTAAAATATTATTATATTAATATAATATTATATTATTATAATATAGTGTTTTCTTGAGTGTTTGGATTATTTCACTAACAAACAAATCATTTAAACAACAGTATCTATCCACATTTACAGATTATACATCTAAAAATTAACGTTTTTATTTATTTTCGGTGTTTTACTTAATTTTGTTGTTGTTCTTGTGTCTCCTAATTCACAATGAGTTCTCTACATCGATACGACCTTTACCTGGGAGTGACACGACCAACGTCACTTCCGCTGGACCGCTGCTGCACATCACGCTCAGGTGTGCTCCTCAGGTGTCTGCTAATGTTAGTGCTAACTGAACCATAGCAACATCGTGTGTCTTTATATTTAGTCTCATTAGTCACATTACATAATGCTTATGGCTCATTAAAATCGGATATGTCGTTTTAGTTGAAAGTTGTTGGTTGAACTCAGAATGCAGGGTTTTCTTCTTGTTTGTTTGTACAGGTGTGTGCAGGTGTTTCCTCGCTCTGTGCTGCAGCTCAGAGGTAAAATGATTTTCTAAACATTACTGTTCACAGAGCTCAGATTAAATGTTCATCTTACTAAAGTTATATGAATAAACTTCATTTATTTTATTTAAAAGTAAAAGCTCTTCATCCAGCCTTCTGTGTTTAATTTAATCAAAGAAACAGCAGTCTGATTCATTTATTATTTAAGTGCAGTAACCAACAACTAACCACCAGAGGGCGCTCGCTCTGTATAAAGTGATTTATAAACGATAAAATGCATTTATTTTAATTTTTATAACTAACCACCAGAGGGCGCCCTCTCCATATAAAGTGATTTATAAACGATAAAATACATTTATTTTAATTTTTATAACTAACCACCAGAGGGCGCCCTCTCCATATAAAGTGATTTATAAACGATAAAATACATTTATTTTAATTTTTATAACTAACCACCAGAGGGCGCCCTCTCCATATAAAGTGATTTATAAACGATAAAATACATTTATTTTAATTTTTATAACTAACCACCAGAGGGCGCTCTCTCCATATAAAGTGATTTATAAACGATAAAATACATTTATTTTGATTTTTATAACTAACCACCAGAGGGCGCTCTCTCCATATAAAGTGATTTATAAACGATAAAATACATTTATTTTGATTTTTATAACTAACCACCAGAGGGCGCCCTCTCCATATAAAGTGATTCATAAACGATAAAATACATTTATTTTCAACCTATAACTTTTAATTAGAGTCTTACATCATTGTTTGGTAAATTATTTATATTAAAGCTGCATTTTTACATTAAACCTTTTCTTCTTAAGTTTAATTTTACTTTTCAAACTTACTTTTTAATCAATTTAATTAGTTTATTGTCGTTTGGTTTTCTTAATGAAAATACCACAAACCTTTTTATTGATTTAATTGAAATGATCAATTTAATTAAAACTTATTTTTTGATTATGATTAAAATATTTGATATGAGTACATCTTACAGCTCATTGAGCTAATTTAGATTAAACATAAATTAAAAGGAAACATTTACAAGTTAAAAAGGTTGTTTTAAAATTCTTCTTCCTTGCCTTGATTTTATTAACTTTCATATGCTCATAACTCTTCTTCACCTACCTTATGTTCTCGATTAACATTCAAAGATAATATTAAGTTCATTGATAATATCACAGATCAATTACAACTCTGAATATATATCATATATATGTATAAAGCTCACACAAGTTAAAGGTAAACAAACTTGTAGAATTATTGTAAAAGTTATAATATAAGATAAATCTGTTTAGATGTTTCTTAAGACCTTATACTCAATGTTTCTTTATTATATTCTACATTTAAACTTTGAATTTAAGTTTGCTTCGGTCTCATCCAAAAGCCTTAAAGTGAAGTTAAACACAGATCATTTACAGTGAATGATAAAACCCATGTTTATTCCAATCATCACAATGTTGTATAATCACAAACATTTTCTGTGTTTTATTAACTTGATGAACTAAAATTAGTTTTTCTTCTCCAACAGGAACTCTGTTGACGTCTTCCAGGAGGATCCCCCGTCGGTGGCCGTCTTCCTGCTCAGGTTGGAGACTCAAAGCTTTCTTAATGTTGTTTTATTATGTTCCAGGTTTTAGGTCTTATAGATGTTTAGACTCAGTTATTTTAATCATTTGACTTCATCCTTTTTATAGTGGAGGAACATCAGGTGTTTAATGAAATACTACATTTTATAATCCTTATTTCATTAAACACCTGATGTTCCTCCACTCCAAAAAGGATCAAATGATTAAAATAACTGAGTCTAAACATCTATAAGACCTAAAACCTGGAACATAATAAAACATGAAGAAAGCTTTGAGCTCCTACCCAATGGGGCTGGAGACTGGCTGGATGTAACCCCCCCCCCCCCTTCCCCCCTCACCTGTGGCACCTTGTTGTATTGTGCTGATGTAACATGTACAAACAGAGGTCATCATGTCTGTTCAATATTTTATTGTAATAAAACTACTGCTGTGTTGCTCCTTACAAGTTATACCTCGTTGTAAAGGTGACTCATCAGGCTTCCCAACGATATAAAATACAACACCAATTAGTTTTATTAAAGAGGCCAAATAATGGACAAAATAATGTTTCCAAACTTTGAGGAGTTTATTTCCAACAGTTATCAAAGCCACAGAAATCCTTCAGAATCAGCTTTACTGGTCAGGTATTCTTAAACACACGAGGAATTTTACTTTTGTAAACTTTGCTCTCTTTGTACAAAGGTATAATATTAAATATCAACAATAAACAAAGAAGTAAAGACTAATATGTACAAGGATAAATAGGATAATAGTGCAAAGATGCTGAAGTAAACATGAGGTAGTTTGAGGTAGTACTGTCTGCCAAGCCAGGAAGCCAAACAAATGCAGGACGTCACCCCCCAATAAATCATTTATTTAATATATATTTAAAAAAAACAAATCTGAGGCTTTAACAAAACAACACACAGATCCAGCTGGAGAAACAAAGTCTGCATCTGTCTCTGTGGCTCAGGAGATGGAAGGAGGACTTGGAGTCTGGAGGTCGTGGGTTCGAATCTTATCAGGACTCAGTGAATTTTAAAGGTGTCGGTCCTAAATGAAAGACTCAAGAGGAACATAGTGAAGCACCTGCCAGTATCGATCCACAGGAAAGACTCAAAGACGGTCACACACACACACCATTATCTTAAAGGTGTTGGTCCAAAGCAAAGACTCAAGAGATCTGAGAAACACAGTCAGGTATCTGTCTCTGTGGCTCAGGAGATAGAAGGAGGACTTGGACTCTGGAGGTTGTGGGTACAAATCTTATTGAGGCAAATTTTAAAGTCTAACATCTGAAATGATGAAGATAAATACGCCCGGAGCTCACGATTTAGTGTGAAGGGATCAGTAGTGTAGTGGATAAGATTGAGGTTTCCAATCTCTGTAGGTGGAGAGCCTGGGTTTGAATCCCACTGTGTCTGATGATAGAGGGTTCAAATCTTATAATGTACAATATACTTACTAATTTATTTTTTTTAAACGACATACTAACCTAAATTCATTAATGGTTCATTGTTCCCACCATGACATCAGATTTTATTTCTCATATAAACATATGGTCAATCATATATGAGGATAATATGGTTCAAAGTTTAATATGGATCATCAGTGACGTCACTAGAGACACTGTTTACATGATATGTGAACACCAAGAACACCTGTCCTCTCTCTGGGTCACTCAGGGAACAGGAAGTTATAAAGCAAACAGGAAGTTATAAAGCAAACAGGAAGTTATAAAGCAAACAGGAAGTTATAAAGCAAACAGGAAGTTGAGAGTTCTTTCTTTAATCTTCAAGGCTGCACACAGCAGGCAGCAACAGCAATGTAAGTTTAGCTTAGCATGTAGCTTAGCATTAGCCTTGTTATAATTTGTTATGTATTGCGTCTGATGTAGCATAGCATGTGGCTTAGCATGTAGCTTAGCATTAGCATGTAGCTTAGCATTAGCAACAACTTGTCTTAGTTTATTGTTTGAATTGATCTAGAACTTTAGTAATGACTAAACTAAATGTTCTTGTGTCTTGTAGTTTTCACTCCTTCAATCTGGTGAATAAATCAAAAGAGTCACTGATTGGCTGACTTCCCTTCAGGTGCAGCTCCTGCAATTCAAAGACAAAGCATGCACAGGTGAGTATGTAGGAATGAGGTGCAAAGGTGTGGTATCATCTATCTGTAGAGAGAGAATGTTAAAAATGTTTGATTTACATTTTAAATTGGGGAATTAATTAAAAATAAAAACTGTTTAAAAAATAAAAAGAATAATTATTATTTATATTATAAATAAATATTATTTATTGATTTAATAAATAAAATAAAAAGTTTGTTGAAGCTGTTTCAATCGTCTTCTTTCTGTTTAACGTCTTGTGTAAAGAAATAAAAACATGTATTTCCTGTGTGTGTGTGTGTGTGTGTGTCTGTATATATATATATATATATATATATGTGTGTGTGTGTGTGTCTGTATATATATATATATATGTGTGTGTGTGTGTGTGTGTGTCTGTATATATATATATATATATATGTGTGTGTGTGTGTGTGTGTATATATATATATATATATATGTGTGTGTGAGACTCACTGGATTATTAAACTGTGCTAATCCAACATCAGCAAACAGACAGAGTTACTGCAGTGTGACACTCATTATACTCCAGGTGCAGAGCATTAAAGTACAGCTGCAGGTAGACGACTATCTGGTGGCTACATGCTAATGCTAAGCTACATGCTAAGCCACATGTTAATGCTAAGCCACATGCTAAGCCACATGTTAATGCTAAGCCACATGCTAAGCCACATGTTAATGCTAAGCCACATGCTAATGCTAAGCCACATGTTAATGCTAAGCCACATGCTAATGCTAAGCCACATGCTAATGCTACATCAGATGCAATACGTACCAAATTATAACAAGGCTAATGCTAAGCTACATGCTAAGGCTAAACCTTAACTTCAGTACAGTAAAGGAACTTACATTGCTGTTGCTGCGGGCAGATTAAAGAAAGAACCCTCAACTTCCTGTTGATCAATCCAGAGCACTTCCTGTTGATAGATCCAGAGCACTTCCTGTTGATCAGTCCAGAGCACTTCCTGTTGATAGATCCAGAGCACTTCCTGTTGATAGATCCAGAGCACTTCCTGTTGATAGATCCAGAGCACTTCCTGTTGCACTCCAGAGCACTTCCTGTTGATAGATCCAGAGCACTTCCTGTTGATAGATCCAGAGCACTTCCTGTTGCACTCCAGAGCACTTCCTGTTGATCAGTCCAGAGCACTTCCTGTTGATAGATCCAGAGCACTTCCTGTTGATAGATCCAGAGCACTTCCTGTTGCACTCCAGAGCACTTCCTGTTGATCAGTCCAGAGCACTTCCTGTTGATAGATCCAGAGCACTTCCTGTTGATAGATCCAGAGCACTTCCTGTTGATAGATCCAGAGCACTTCCTGTTGATAGATCCAGAGCACTTCCTGTTGCACTCCAGAGCACTTCCTGTTGATAGATCCAGAGCACTTCCTGTTGCACTCCAGAGCACTTCCTGTTGATCAGTCCAGAGCACTTCCTGTTGATAGATCCAGAGCACTTCCTGTTGATAGATCCAGAGCACTTCCTGTTGATAGATCCAGAGCACTTCCTGTTGCACTCCAGAGCACTTCCTGTTGCACTCCAGAGCACTTCCTGTTGATAGATCCAGAGTTACAGATTCACAGATATAAGAAGACCAATGAGAAAATGTTTCAGATTAAAAGAAGCAGACAGGTGATCATTCAAACAACATTCATTCTGTTCCTGAGTCCATTTGAACTTTTGTGATCTGTTGGTTTGGTAACCTCAGCATCGTTAACAAAAACAGTTGTTTATTTTAATAAGGACCAATCAGAAGTCCTGGAACACCCTCATGTGCTCCTTGAGACTCCTTGAAGGTCTCGGTCTGGGACTAGAAGAAAAAAAACAACAAATAACATCACTCCATTTGTAGTTTGATTTGTATCCCCCGGTTACGACCACAAGCTTCCCGGTGTTAAAACGTCCCCTGCACACAAAGATATTTGTGGTGTTGGTCTTAGTGTGGTCATGACTACAACACTACCCTCAGCACCCTCTGCATGCAGACTTCAGACTTCTGCAGACAAGGAGGACCAAAAGCTGCTGGGTTTTTAAATGACATGACACTTTAAATGGTGTTCGAGTCCCGCTGCGGCCGCTCCCTGGATCTGTGGGCCTTGTTGGTGATGCTGAATTATTTGATGTTTGGTTTTCCCTCTGCTCATTCAGCAGTCTGGACAGAAGATGTGATGTGTTAGCTGTGACCAGAGTTAATGTTGATGTCTGCCTGAGTGTATCAAATCTGACACTTATCATTGAAGTGGTTTCACAGCTGTGATGACATCACTGGTGCCGATGATGGCGCCGATGTCACTGAGGTCTCGTAGCAGCAGGTTGAGGACCTCGAGATGCAGACTTTGAACACTTTCTCCTGAAACATATCTGTACCGTCTTGTGCTGCAGGTTGGTCTGATCTCTCTCCTCCACCTCTTCTGGTCGTAGTTGACGGCGAGCTCCTCCAGCGCCTGCAGCACCTCCTTCACCTCCTCCTTCAGCTGGTTCTCCGTTTGCAGCCGGCACAGCTCCTCCTGGGAGGGACGTGGGGTCAGAGTGAGTTCATGCAAAAATGATCATCCTTATGAAATCCATGTTTAAATGAAAATACTTGATATTTCTTTTGTATTTCATCGGCTGAGAGACAAACCTCTTCTTGATCTGCTCCTTCAGTTTGTCAGCCAGCTGACTGTGTTGGTTGATCTCATCATCCTGTGAATTATTACAAGAAAATGACATTAAGTAATAATAATTGAGAAAATGAAAGTATTTGTATTTAGTTTGAATCTTTAAGCAGGTTGTCTTCAAACTGTGCTTCTAATGTTGTGTCTTGTCTTTGACTTTAGTCTATTCTTGTCATCCAGCTGTTTGTACAGGTTGCTGATGTCCTCCTCGTATTTGCTCCGCTCGTTGCAACAATTTGACTTTTCTTTCACAAAGGTAAGAAGTATTTTCAGTTGAAAAAAACAGTTAATTTAAAATGAGTAATGTATCATAATGGCTCATTTACTTTTCACGTATTGTTCAATCCTAGCTGTAAATTAGATGCACACGTTTGAGTGCTCCTAAACTAAAAGTCTGTGATATTCTGTGATCACAGACTGGTATTATTAATTAATTGTTAATGGAGAACATAAGGTAGGTGAAGAAGAGTTGAGAGTTATAATTTTAAAACAACCTTTTTAACTTGTAAATGTTTCCTTTTAATTTATGTTTAATCTAAATTAGCTCAATGAGCTGTAAGATGTACTCATATCAAATATTTTAATCATAATCAAAAAAGCAGTTTTAATCAAAATGATCATTTCAATTAAATCAATAAAAAGGTTTGTGGTATTTTCATTAAGAAAACCAAACGACAATAAACTAATTAAATTGATTAAAAAGTAAGTTTGAAAAGTAAAATTTAACCTAAGAAGAAAAGGTTTAATGTAAAAATGCAGCTTTAATATAAATAATTTACCAAACAATGATGTAAGACTCTAATTAAAAGTTATAGGTTGAAAATAAATGTATTTTATCGTTTATAAATCACTTTATATGGAGAGGGCGCCCTCTGGTGGTTAGTTGTTGGTTACTGCACTTAAATAATAAATGAATCAGACTGCTGTTTCTTGGAGTAAATTAAACACAGAAGGCTGGATGAAGAGCTTGTTGTCTTAGTTTACCTGTTAGCTGTTGTTTTATTTACCTGTTAGCTGTTGTGCAGTTTTCTTTCAGTCGTAGTTTGTCTTCTTAGTCTTTAATGTTTGTTGTTTTTATCTTTCAGCTGTAGTTTTGTTTAGTTATAGATTTAGTTTAAAGTTGTATTGTCTGTTTTCTTTGATTTGTGTGTTGGATGAAACTTACTAACTTCCTTAATATAATTAACTTACTTAATATAATGTAATATAAGATAATGTACTTAATATAATGGTCCTTTGTTCCCACCATGACATCAGATTTTATTTATTGTATATACATATGGTCAATCATATATGAGGATAATATGGTTCAAAGTTAAATATGGATCATCAGTGACGTCACTAGAGACACTGTTTACATGATATGTGAACACCAAGAAAGAAACTATCTGTCTGCCTCTCCTCTCTCTGTATCTAGGTCATTGCTGAGTCCAGCCAGTGAGGCTCCAAACCTCCATGGAAATGTGAACAAAATGAGAGAAGATGCCTGTTTGAGGCGAACACACACAGACACAGATATCCATTTTAAAGCCCGCAGGTTAGCGTCTGAACTGTACCTGTAGGTCTGTCTTCATGAGCGAGGCTCCTGCTTCAACCAGATAATGACAGATAGTTCTTTGACACAGGGACGCAGCTCGGTGAAGGACCGTCTCCCCCCTGGTCAACAGAAGAGAGAGAGAGAGAGAGAGAGAGAGAGAGAGAGAGAGAGAGAGAGAGAGAGACACACAACATCACCCGAGGAACAGACATCAACCCCCCTGCTGCTTCTTTTGGTGTCTTGTGTTTATGATGGCACATATATCATCACATACAGACTGAACAGAGATCAGAGCACAGATACAGGAACAGCATCATCATCTACACTCTGTTAACATTTAAATAAAGTGTTTAGCATTTTAAAAACCTCATGGTTTCAGTTCTATGTTAGATGTTTTCAAGCACAAATAGAATCTGTACTTACTGCAGTTTTTCTGTAAGGACTAAAAACTACTTAAAGGCAGGGTTGGTGATTTTCTCCAGATCAACTTTTTAAGATTGTGGTTGAAATTGTCTTTTGGTCCTGACAATGCAAGCAATGAGCTGAGGTCCACTTCTGGGGTGGGTGCAGACGCAGCACTGAGGGAATGCTACTTTTAGAAAATGATCAACCCTGCCTTTAACCCAGACAAGACTCTCTCTTACCTGCTGTGTGTAAAGTGTCTTGAGATAACATTTGTATTGAGTTGGCGCTCTACAAAATAAAGATTGATTGAACTGACTTATTGTTTTTCAAGCCTGTCATTGAAAGTTTCCCATTTATTCAAACACTAGAATACAGAAAGAAAGAAAACTACATATTCCTCTGTTGAAAAAAACTACAAACATACCTATGATGAAAAGAACCCACAAACATTCATTAATGATAAAAAAAAACAACAACTAAGGATTCTTCTAATGAGCTACACAAGGTTATTTGGTATACTCTTAAAGGTACAGGTAAAGGTACTGCTACAGGAAGTGACTGATCAAACAGGAAGTGCCCTGCCTATAAAGGAAGCAGGAAGTTGAGGGTTCCTTCTTTAATCTTCAAGGCTGCACACAGCAGGCAGCAACAGAAATGTAAGTTCCTTCACTGTATTGAAGTTAAGGTTAGCATGTAGCTTAGCATTAGCCTTGTTATAATTTGTTATGTATTGCATCTGATGTAGCATGCCATGTGGCTTAGCATTAGCATGTAGCTTAGCATCAGCAACAACTAAGCTTTATTTAAATGTTCTTGTGTCTTGTAGTTTTCACTTCTTCTTCAATCTGGTGAATAAATCAAAAGAGTCACTAACATCCTGACTCACTCATCGTTGAATGGAGTTTGTCTGACTGTTAACCTACCTGCACCAAACACGTGGAGGACTGTACACACACCTGTGGAGGATGTAGAGGACCAGCTCTTTGCTTCCTGCACTGGCAGCGTGATGACGTGAACTGCAGCCGGACGAGTCGAGTGAGGTGAGGTGGGCTCCCTTCAGGTGGGGCTCCCTTCAGGTGGGGCTCCCTCCAGGTGGGGCTCCCTTCAGGTGCGGCTCCTGCAGCTGATGATTCAATTCAAAGACACATGTGAGTATGTAGAAATGAGGTGCAAAGGTTTGTAGTGAGAGATGAAACTGTCACTCACCTTCTTTAAGTCTTTGTTCTTCACACACTCAACCAGCAGCTCTACACACACAGAGAGAGAGAGGATGTTAAAAACACCGATAATTAAAGTTATTATCAGTGCTCTGTATGATGAGGTTCAAGGTCTTGGTCCTCAAAAGGATTTGATTGACTTCTCCTTTTGGGTAACAGATTTATCGGCTAACAATAAACATGTAAACTACTCTAACTAATTAAAACACAGCTGGCAGATAACCAACGACATTAAGGACTAATGCAGTGCAGCTGAACCTGATCACAGATGTTCTCTCTCTCTCCCCCCCAGGTACTGGAGTCTATGTGATGCAGAATGGACACAGCAGTAGTTACTTTCCAAAAAAACAGTCCCAATGTGACATGATAACAAAGTGAATGTTAACTTTCATAAATCAGTCCATTTTTATTCACTTGTCTCCAAATCATTAGAAAAGTTATCTCCAGACACTTTACAATAACAAACATTTTGAAGTTTAAACTAATTGTGATGTGTTTCTCTTTTTTTAACACTTTTAGGGGCAGCCTGACCAAAACAAGATGACGAGCTGTTAGCATGTGTGCTACACCACGCTGCTTCACCTGCTTCATTCAACATTTGGTGAGTATTTTTCTTGGCTCTTGTTTATTTTAACCGTTTGAGTCACAGTCATATTCTTGATTTTATTTGTAGGGCAAAATTTATATCATGCTACAAACTTTCTTAATCCTAACTCTCGCTTTGATGTAGATTCTTTTGACTTAATGAAATGATTAAAAATTAGTTATGTATCATAATGGCCCATTGTACTGTTCACGTTTTGTACATTTTGTAAATTACTCATGGATGCAACCTGAAGTGAACTTTAAACCCTGATGTCTTTGTTTCTTGTTTCTGATCTTCCAGGTGTTTCCTCGCTCTGAAGAGTAGGATCTGTGCTTTAACTGGAAGGAGTTTCTTCGGATTAAAGTTTACCTGTTAGCCCTTGTTTTTTTTATCTTTCAGCTATAGTTTGGTTTAATTTTCATTTGTAGTTCTCTCTGAAGACACTTTGATAATAAAATGTTCAAGTCTTTGTCTCATTTGTGTTGTCAGCATCTTTAATTCCTAATAGATGTTTTGTAGTAGTTTCCTTTGTCACATAATGTGAACTTGAGGTGAGAGTTGCTTACATTAGAAAAAAGACTACAAGAAACAACTTTCCTCAGGAAGAATAAAACACAGCTGGCAGATAACCAGAGCACAGAAGTCACTGATGCACAATGGATAAAGCAGTAGTTTTATTACAATATTCGAGACATGACATCAGCACAACACAATAAGGTGTCACAGGCATCCCCATTGGGTAGGAGATGCAAAGCTTTCTCAATGTTTTATTATGTTCCAGGTTTTATAGATGTTTAGACTCAGTTATTTTAATCATTTGATCCTTTTTGGAGTGGAGGAACATCAGGTGTTTCATGAAATAAGGATTATAAAATGTAGTATTTCATTAAACACCTGATGTTCCTTCCTATAAAAGGGATGAAGTCAAATGATTAGAATAACTGAGTCTAAACATCTATAAGACCTAAAACATAACAAAACAACATTAAGAAAGCTTTGAGTCTCCAACCTGAGCAGGAAGACGGCCACCGACGGGGGATCCTCCTGGAAGACGTCAACAGAGTTCCTGTTGGAGAAGAAAAACTAATTTTAGTTCATCAAGTTAATAAAACTCAGAAAATGTTTGTGATTATACAACATTGTGATGATTGGAATAAACCTGGGTTTTATCATTCACTGTAAATGATCTGTGTTTAACTTCACTTTAAGGGTTTTGGATGAGACCGAAGCAAACTTAAATTCAAAGTTTAAATGTAGAATATAAAACAGAAACATTGAGTCTAAGGTCTTAAGAAACATCTTTACCATACATTAACTGTCACAAGAACACAAACTCTAATTAAAGTTATAGTTTGAAAATAAATACATTTTATCGTTTATAAATCACTTTATATAGAGAGGGCGCCCTCTGGTGGTTAGTTGGTTACTGCACTTAAATAATAAATTAATTAGACTTTGAATTAAACACAGAAAGCTTTTACTTTTTAAATTAAATTAATGAAGTCTATTCATATTACTTAAACAAGATAAACATTTAATGTCTGAGCTCTGTGAACAGTAATGTTGGGAAAATCATTTTACCTCGGATTAACTAATTTACATATCAGTCAATAAATTTAAATTGAGGTTATTGTTTTATTTAAACTCTTCAAACTAATATTAGTTTAAATTACAAGTGTTGTTTTTAGAGTTTACTTTTAGCCGGTGTTGTGGAGTTAAATAATTAGTTTAAGAGAAAACAAGTTTAAAAGTGACCTTCATAATATTGATAAACGTTATCATCATCTTACTCTGACGATGTTTCCTCTTAACAAACATTTGTAATGACGTCAGCATGAGCATTAGCCCAGGTGTTAGCATTAGCATAAAGACGCAGGTATTTCTATTTTGTGTCTTTTCACACAAACTGGACTTTTAAAGACTCACTGAGTATCTAGACTTCATGTTTCCTTCCCCGGCTCCTTCTTCTTCCAACATGCTGCCACGCTGCACGCGGTCCGCACCGCTTACCTGCTCGAGACAATGATATACACACCTGAGAACACCTGAACACACCTGGGCGTGATTACCGGAAGCTTCAACCGGAAGTGACGCAGAAAGTTTCTATCGAAGAAATTAAAAAGTTATAAATAATAGGACACATAAACAAGACTAAGTCAAAAATCAAATGTTTTATGAATAAAAAATATTTATTAATGTAATTTACTTTTTTTTATGTTTGTTTCTTTTAACTCTTGGTAACCTAGCAACAAGAGAAAGTCAAACTCGGGTCACCATGGTAACATTAACATTAACCCACAGATAAATTCAGTGTTCATGATGTTTACCTCCAGTTTCTCTCTTCCTCTCCCTGTCGTTCTCCAAAGTGTCCAAGAAGCAGATAAATTAGTTAGTTTGAGATACTAATGTGTAAAGATGGAGTTTAAAAGTGAAGTTGCGCCCTCCTGTGGTCACTCTGTGAATTACTGCATTTGGAATTTTTTTTTCCCACATGCAACAAACTCAAACTGCTTTCTTTGTTTTATTTCTTTATAAACAAATGTGACTTGACTTAATCACAGATAACATATTTGCTTTTTAAAAAAATATATATTTTTAAATTATAAAGCAACTGTTTACTGCTTATGTTAATTAAAATCCATTGTCTGTTAATCACACGTGCATGTTAGTCTCTCAAAGAATCTGAAGTGTAACTTCATTGATTGCATATTCTTGTGTACGTTGGAGCGTTTCACTCCTGAGGAAGAAAGCAGATTGTGTTCCCATGACATATTAGGCAATATATTTTTCAACAATGTAATTTGAGATACACTTGGACCTCTCCGGTGTGGTGAGGTAGGGGGACATGTCACCTATGATAGATTTAGGTGAAATAGATGTAGGGGTCATCAATATTTATGGACTGGTTGATTGTCATTCAGGTAATCGGCAGCACAAAAACAAACGTAGTGGCTTTTTTAGTTTTATTGCTTCGGCCCGCAGTGTTAGATCACTTTTGAAAAGCAAAGCTAAACATACAGTTCTTTAGATTAAAAAAAAGCTCAGACAGAGGGCTACAGGAAACCTCAACACACAACTTAAAGGTGTTTTGTTTTTCAAACACATAAATTCATACTTTTAATACAGTGTCCTATGAATGAGGATATTTTTATAATACCTGTGTCACAAAAAAGGCATACAGATTCACATTCTTCAATTTCACTGTCTAACAGAGTAGATATAGTTCACATTTATTAAAAATATTTACAAAATAATGTTTCAACCGGATTTAAACCATATTCAGACCAGATTTATTGTATTTATTTCTACTCGAATAATTAACAAAAAAAATCATAAAGCCGTCAGGACCTGATAAATATCGTACTCTTTAGCATCAAGGGTTTTTGTTTTGAATGTCTTTTTAAGCCTTTTCTACTTTTTGGCCTCGTAATTATCAGGCAAAAATCTAAATTCTTTGACTTCCAAGTAGAGTGAATGTAATCACTCAAATGTGTCTAGAAGGTGACTGGTTACTGCACTGACCTGTATCTAACTTAAAAGTAGTGAGGGTCTTTACCACACCTCTAAGAGCAGATAAAATGATCATCAGAGTTCAACCACTGATGAAACAAAGACACTGAAAGAGAGAACAGAAAGAAGACTTGGATGAAATGAAGAACCTTCTCAGTTGACAGTTTTGGTCTCACTCCAAGTCTGCACTCATCTGAAAAAGAAGAAAAGCAGAGCAGAATTGATTTGCTTTCTTCAGAAGAAAAAAAAGAAAAGAGAGTGTTGTTTACAATCAGAGGACAGGTTATTCTGTCTGAGACAAACCCCTTTAGAAGACAGACTAAAGGGGTTTCACACCTGCAGAAAACTCCTGAAAACTCTTGATATTTGCAGGAGGAGCTGTATGTGTGAATGCAAACGGCCAAATGTTTTCGTTTGGACTTCACCCGGAGTTTCTCCTGACAGAACCCTACTGTAGTATTCTTTTCAGCAGTTAGTCAGAGTGAGCTGATGTGAGAACGCAGCACAATATTATCTGGAATATTCACCTCGGGCCAATGGGAGGGGGAGTGACGTTTATATCCTGTGACTGCTGCTCGACCACAGACTGTCTGCACGCCACCTCTACCATCTCCGTGCTCTAATCAACCTGCTGCTGCATGTTTCCTGTTCTCCAGTTTGTTCTTCTCCACTCTTTAGTTCACATTGTGATTCTGTTCAACCACACGTAGCATTGATTTAAAGACAAATATTCTCATTATAGCGTCGTATACCTCAGGAGACCCCTCGCCGCCCCCCCTCCTGTCTGACAGTTGTAGTCCCCAGCTGTGAGGTGGATATGTGAACAACCAGATCAGGAGAATCTCTGGAGCAGTCCTCCTGAAATGATCTAGATATTTTCAGGAGTGCAGATGTGAAAATGACTTTCACACCTTTGTGTATGTTAGATGTCATGCATGCAACAACACAAAGAAAATTACACTTAAGCTGATAAACTATTCAGTGCAGAGCAACAAACTGAGGCTGCCTCTACCTGAACATCAAGCTCTTCAAATCCAAGAAGATTGCTGGTCTGAGCAGAGCAAGAGAAGAGAAAACACACAACAAAACTTAGCTCCCATTACTGGCCAAACCCCATAAAAACATCTCCAAATTTAAGCTTTGGTTACTGGTTTGCGACACAACAATACTTAAAGCAACTGCATTTAAGATCAACAAGGACAAAATAACAGATAAACACAGACAGAGTAAAGCTGGGTTTACATTTCTACACATCTACTGGTTCATCTCAGATGGACATATCATGCAGTTTACTCGTCTACATTCATCTGAGGTGTTGTTTCTTTACAGATGATGAATTAACAGAAATCTTCACCTGTAAAAAAAAAACCCTGTGCAGACTGTAAACAGCAGTTTTTAAAGAGGTGCTCACAGAAGCTGGTTCAGCAGCTTATCAAAATACTCACCACAGCATCAATGTCTCTGGGGCCGACTAACTGTGACAACGCCCTGTAGTCATCAGGAGACATGGGCAACATGTTGTCCTGCAGTCTGGACGGATGTCTGAACAGAAAGCAAATCCACATTAAATCTGCTCAATGCATTACCAATAAAATATTTGGTAAAACATGTGTTTAAAAAAGTGACGTTCTCTGCTCACACTTCAGAGACAGAAATGAGCTCTGTCTTCATGTAGCCGCTCTTATCTGGATTGTTCTCCACATCCATGGGCTCCTGAGCTAAAAGTCAAATAAACACAGATTCAACTTTAACAGCATTTAGTCCCCAATAAGCATTAAATAAACACGTGCAGTTTGCAATAAGATACTTTGCTGAAATTACAGGTAATAAAAAACCTCTCATCAGCTCCTTTGTATAAAAGGTTGAATGTTTTTATGGCACCTGCAGATTGTTAGTTTAATAAACACTCTTAAAAGAAGCATTAATACTTAATACACAGTTTTTTAAATTTAAGAAAGCATCACATTTTATAAACAGATCATATGGTTTTACTGTGAACCAGAACACTTACTCTCTGTGGGTTTGGGGTAGTATTTCCCGAAGGCCTTGTCTTTTGGGATGTTGGGGTAGAGGAAGCGGAGCGGGTTCTCGGGGATGTTCTCGGCAGCCATCACTTTGTAGGTACGGATGATGTCGGGCAGAGAGACGGCTGACAGCTCCTTCTTCGTGTACGGCTCCACAGAGTGAAAGAGCGGCTTGTCTGCAGAGAGAGGGAGTAGGAAACTGTTCTTCAATTGAAATATCAGAAAATGTCAGATACTGAGCGGAAGGTTTGGGGGTAGCACAGCACGACCTGTCTGGGCATACTGTTGTTTGTTTTGGTTTAATGCTGGTGCTAGAGGGCGATATCTACTGGATCAAAGAGTCTCACATTCTTCCTTTACATAAGACATGAACAGCATCAGTCCTTCACTCACTGCAGAGGTCGTATTCGATCCAGGTAAAGGTGATGGCTCCCTCTCTGCTGCTCTCACTGAACCTGAGCAGGAAGGTCCCGGGACACTTATCACTGAGCAGAGCCTTCTCCCTCTCCTTACTGATGAAGCCCATGATGGAGCTGCACACACACACACACACACACACACACACACACACACACACACACACACACACACACACAGAAAATGACTCTAACATCCACTCCGCACATCTCAGAAAAGTGTAATCTTCACACTGAAGACAGACGGCAGCACTCACCCGTCATTCCAAAGGGAAAGCAGGTGTCTTTTAATCACATCCAGGATTCCTTCGATCCACAACCAGAAGGAATACGCTTTCTCGTTCGCACTCTGCTTACAGACAAATACATTTAGTTCACAGAGAAGATGTAGTTTTAACTTTATGATGCACCAAAAACACTTTATCAGTATCTGCTAACCTGTACATGTTTCTCTTATTGCAGCTTTTGGTTCAATTATGACTGAAGATCTAAGTTTTTGGACAGCTTTAGTACTTTTCCAAACTTTCAATCATATTGAAATTACAGATTTTATTCATTTTTAACTTGTGGTGTCGAAAAGTATCACAGATGTTGACGATCTTAAATCTCCGCTGAATGGGGCTCACCTTGCAGAACTTGGTCCAGGGGATTTGTCCCTCTGGGTTCCTCTTGGCTTTGGCTCCTGAAGATAAAAAAAAAAAGTTAAAGGCCTGTTTGAAAGTCCTGCAGGTGTTTATCTGTTAAAGAAAACTATTTCTACCGAGCAGTTTGTCAGCCAGCATGTTGAGCTGCTCCTGGTTCAGGCCTCGCTTGGTGACGGAGGAGAACTGCCAGCTGAGGACCTCGGACAGCTGACACCACTTGGCCTGCGGAGGGCTGAGGAAGAACTTCAGATTCTGAGGGAGAGGAGAGGAAAGAAGAAGAGATGGAAACACAAAAAGTCAAACCATCTGGTTTAAAACTACAGTTAAAGATACTCTGTTACGAATAGAAGACCTTTATTCAAAACCTTACTTCATATAAAAAGCACAGGCATCAAAATATACTAAAATGCAAACCGTAAAACAGCTATACACGCGTCAACATTTAGACTGTATTAATGGTCTGTTTATGAATTTAAGGTGGCAGCTGTGAAACTTGTTTAAATCATTAAGATATCACCTAATTGTATCTTTGATATTTGTGATAAGTAAACATCTGTAATCATCAATGAGAGTCCTGGTTGTGTACCCTGGGCTCGGAGGTCAGCATGTTGTACCAGAGGATGGAGGCCCAGCCGCTGGGCAGCTGACAGACGTTAGAGATGACAACAACAGGCAGGGACATGGCCTACAACAACAAAAACAGCAACAAACATCAGGAAATAATCATAAACAAACTCATAAAATCCAGCAAACTCGTCTGTTTAATCTTTGGGATTGTGTGAGTTTCACCTCCAGTTTGATGTTGAGTCCTGACTGGTTGAGCTGCAGCTCCGACTCGAAGCTGAGCGAGTGAAGCTCCTCGGTGACAACCAGAGGACCCTGAACAAAACACACATAGACACACACACAATCACAAACACACTCAGCTCATATAAATCTACAGAACACGAGGAGCCTGTGCAAAACTTTAAACACTTTGTAGGATACAATTTAGACTCTTTATTTTTTACTTTAAATAACAACTCTCCAGCGTCTCACAGCCGCTTAAATTTGCTCGGTTGCAAAAATGTTATGATCTCGATCCCGTTGATTACAGAATGCAGATGCTGTTTTCTCAAAATGATGTCATCGCTGATGCTCTCACCTCGTTTGTTCGGTTGCCGGCAACTTTCTGCTCTTTTAGTTGCTGTGTGAAAAAAAGAAGACATTACAGAAACGGTCATACACAAAGGTTTTAATTTCAAGGTCATAGTACCGTGGACTAAAAACCTTTTCCCCCAATAGTGCTGAATTAGTTTTTGTCCTCAGGTTCTCATTCCCTTCTGTTCTGAAGAATCAACAACAACAATTATCTCCCTTATTTTACTGAGTAAAGAAAAGAGCGAAACTCCAATAAAAACAAATGAAATGTATCTTCTAATGAAGCTGTCTTACTAAATGTCTGAACTCTGCTGCCAGGCTGCCGTTCGACTCCTCCATGTTCATAACTTTGGTATTTGTTCCCAAAATGTTGAACTTTCGAAACCTGACATCAGAAAAAAACAACAATCAGCCAATAAATATGCACGATGCTTAAGATTTCCTCATTTCCATGCAAGTGATATTTTAAAAAGACATATAAGTTTTAGACTTACCCTTTCTTTTCTGTAACATCTCTGAGGACCAAAATAGAAGAATTATGTTTAGATTTTAAAACCTGTTCAAACACAGGTGTGACTTTTCCACTAAAATGAAAACAACGTGTGACCACAGCTTACTTGTCAAACATCGCCTTGACTTTAAGCTGGTAGTTAAACTCCTGCAGCTTCACCAGGAACCTGAAAAGAGAGGAAAACAAGAACAACAAGAATTTCTCTTTTTGATGCTTTTCTGCTCTTATATTTCTAAAGCTGTAATTTGGGTGATTTTTCATTAAAAAAAAAATAAAATAAAAAACTATTTGTGTTGGGAAGGTAAGAAGGTCAAATCAACAATTGAAATTTTTTTGTGAAAAAAATAAATCTAAATTCTGAAATATTTGCTTTTCTGCTTC